TGCACTGTTACCATGGCCCCTGGGTGGCTCTGGGAGAGAGCCCCAGCCCTCTCACTCTCTGAGTGGTCACTATAACAGGATTCTGACCATAAGCAGCTAAAAAATGGAGGCGTTTCCAAAAGGGAGTATTTTAGCCCTTGAAATGTGACTGCCAATGTTTCAAGTGCTACAGATTTATTGGTTTCTGAAATTCAGCCAATATGCTGAAATTTTTAAGCTGGGTTAAACAAAGCCTCCGAACAGACTGAGTTTAATGGTATCTTGGCCCAACAAGGCCATGACAGACTACTTAATAATTTCACTCCATTCATGTTGACACAGAACATTTTTCTAGTGATAAAATAAATATATGTTCAATGCAGAAAACTTGATAATCTCTGAGCTAACCCAAAGATAACCACCGTGAACATTTTGGTAGACATTCTTTCAAGGAGCATAGCATTTAGAGGTGTGCAGGTGCTGAGACTAGATGTTCTGGATTCAAATGTTACCTTGAGCACCCTTGGTTGGGCGCAATTTGGACAAACTACTTAATCTCATCGAACCTGTTTTTTCTCACCCGTAAAATGCAGACAGTAACAGTTCCACTATCTCATAGGGTCTGGAGAGGATTAAATGAGGCAACATTTGCAAAACGCATAGAACAGAGCTCGGCACCTAGCAGGTGTGCAAGCAGTGTTATTTATTTTTCTACACAAACAGACACACACATTTCTTTTCCAGTAAATGGTTTCATATTATAAATACTGCTTAATAGTCTGCTTTGACCACTTAGGAATGTGTTAAAAACATTTTCCTGTGTTAGTAAATATTTTTTTACTACATACACAGGATCCTTGAAGTAAAGCTGCTGCAGGTGTTCTGAAGCGCGAGCTGCCATTCTTGCGCAGCACCTGAGCTCGGTGCTCTGAGCACAGCAAGAGAACTAAGAGATCAGCAACCGAAGCAAAGTGAAGGCAAACATCCTCAAAATGGCCAGGAGCTGATAATGTCGCCTGGCAGCTGCGCCCACAGGTCAGGTCATCTCTGCTGGGAAGGCTGCATGTGAGATGCGCAGACAGGTAAATGGTGCACTCAGGAGGGAAAATGCAGAAAGCAGCGAGCAGAAGCCAGGAGGCTGAGGAGAGATTAGAAAGGCAGCTCATCCACCGTGGAAGACAGGGGCCACACTGCACTCCTGCTGTCGGTCCAGCCACCGTGGGTGGGGCCTGCCTGCGCCCTGTGACCCAAGTTTCTAGTCCTGCGCGGCCTGGCTGGACAGCTGCTGTGACCCTGCTGTATTCTTCCTTATCTGAGAGACCTACAGGTGTGTTTAGTCCTGACAACCCAAAAGGGCCTCCCTCGTATTTATGGGGCTGCTCTAGTAGTCCCGTCAATAACTGAAACGTTTATTTTGTTAGGTACTTGCTATGTGTTAAGCACTGAGGATTAAACAATGAGCAAAAAAGGATGGTACACGACTACACAGGTGTAAAGTCTAGCACAGAAGACAATTAATCAAGCAGTATCATAGCATGACAGACACGACGATGCTAGAAGTACAGACCGCAAGGGAAACACGCAGGAAAAACAGTGAGTCCTCTATCAAAGACTTGACGGAGCCCGAAGGAGCTTCAGGCTGAAGGATAAAGTTAGTCAGGTGTGCCAGATACTGCAGAGTGTTCGCTCGGTACACACTCCAGCCCTGTGTGGACTCTACGACCACCAGCCTTTTAAAGTTACAGAGTCTTGATAGAGCAACAGTGGACTAGATCAGCATTTCCAACCAGGCCACCCAAGAGTCTTGGCCTCACTTAACAGGGAGGGCCTGGTTTCTTTGGTGGGTGTCTTTCAATCCTGGAAATATTTAGAATGAAATACAGAAATGTTTAAGAGAATCAAAATCGTAAGATACTTCTCTGTTAAGAAGGAGTGCAGACATATTTTATGATTTTGTAATGTGTAAAAGAATTTGGCCTAGGGCGCCTGGCTGGCTCAGTCAGCAGAGCATGCGACTCTTGATCTCAGGGTCATGAGTTTTGAGCCCCACATTGTGCATAGAGATTACTTAAAAACAAAAAACAAAAAATCTTGGCCTATTAGATTGTAACCTCGGTTTTGAAAATATAATTGAATAATTTCTTTCTGACTTGTGTTTTTAAGTTGAAAATCTTAGTAAGTTTACATATATTATGAGAATAAAAAAATCTAAGACTCACCTCATTTGTAAGTTGTTTTTTTTTTTAAATATTTGTTTACTTAAGTACTCTCTACACCCAGCGTGGGGCTTAACTCAAAACCCTGAGATCAAGAGTCGCATGAGCCACTGACTGAGCCAGCCAGGAGCCTGTAAGTTTAATATATGATATTCACAGGACATTTTGTTGAAGAGCTTGATCAGATTTTTATTTTTTAAGTCAGACAACTGAAGTTCTTTAGAAAGCACTTCTATTTAGCTGTATGAATCCAATTTGAAATATCTGAAGCTCTTCAATTAACTCTTCTAGTATTATCCAAAAGTGACTAGTAAAATCTCCTATGTTTATATATAGAGCAATCAGAGCTGTAAGAATTATGAAAAAAAACTAAGTTTTTGAAAGTGCACTTTACAAAAGTCATAACATTTTGAAATCTAAGTAAACCCCGGAATAGCGATTTCTGCTTACAAAAGCTACCCTTCAACGGCAATTTAAAAAAAACACAACATATATATTATATTACATCCTCTCTGATTCCAAGTCTTGTACTCTGTTGATGGATGTGGAATTGGAAAAACCGTCCCCTCTATTTTATTTTGATAGAAGCCACTGGAATGTTTGTTTCTGTAATGACATTTCACTAATTTTTATTGTTTGTGCAAACATTTGATTTGTTTGGTACCGTATTCTAAAGTTGCAAGCAGTTCTCAGACATTTATCCTTTCAATAATGCTGGAATAAAGTACAGGGTGTGGTATGACTCTCCTCTGACTTCCTCAGAGTCGAGCATGGTCTAATTTCAAGCACGGGACCCCATGTGGACAGGAGGGAACAGGGATCCTGAACATCTGAGGACAGGATCTGTTGTCTGTGCTGTCACTACCCTCTGCCCCACCCCCAGTGCAGCCTCCCTCTCACCGGACTGAAGGGCCAGACAGCACTTCCAGGAAACAAAGGGTTAAGAGGGTGCTCTACACCCTTTCCTGCCCCTCACTGCATTTCTACTCCAGTCACCTAGTTCTCTCCATCTTCGCTGCACGTGTATAACCCACGGATGAGTCAACCGTAATAACTCAGAATCCAGCAACAGTAACGGCAACTGATATAAACTCTCCGGAGACAGAGGCCAAATCCATGTGCTCCACAAAGGTACGGCAGTCAGATTGGCCCCAACTCCTAAAACCAAGTAGCAAGTTTTGCACAAAGTCTCTGAACTTTTCTCTTTCTCTTTATTCTAGAACCATCACTGTATTTCAGGTCTTCCGACCACCTTTCTGAATCTACAACTGCCACGGAAGCTCTTTCAAACATCACTTTTGCTTTAGGTGCCTTAGATCCTACAGGAGTCAACTGATCTGAATTAAAGTTACGCAGCTTAGGTCCACCAATTGACCCTGCCACACTTACGTGAATAGTCAAGCCTCCAGAAAGGAGCAGGCAAAGATTCTGGTGCGCTCAGGCCTAGGAAGGCAGAGTGCAGAATCACATCTGCCCCTCCAGGCCACCGTACTCCTCGGGTCTAATAAGAAAGGAGGACACCAATTCTTACTATGTGAGAATGCCTGTCACATCCTCTCTGACAAGATCGCTCCCTACGCTCAGATCATTTCCATTAAGGGCATCTCTTCAGGACTTTTACTGTACCATCCATTGCTCCACCTGTCATAGAAGCATGTATTACTTTCCATTCACCTAGCTGTGTAGTGGGCACACACAGGGAGGATTTAAACTACAAAACACACTTTTTGCTCTCAGAGATTATAGCCTAGTTATAGACACCAGATATATGATAAAACAACAGGGATATGAGCCAACACAAGTCCGTAGGACTTCAGAGTGAAGGAAGAATTCCTTAAGTATTCCAAGGGTAAGATTAGTTTCAGAGGACTTCTGCCAAGGGCTGAACCCAAAAGAAACGTAGGATTTAGACTTGTTCTTAGTGCTATTTTATATGTCCTTAGAATCAGTTTTAAATTCCCTCTGGAATAAAGAAAAGCACTAGCCATGTGGCCAGGGCAAGTAAATGGGGGTGATAAAACTTACACCACCTCGTCAGGAGTCTTCAGTGAAATAAAATAACATAAGCAGAGCACGGCACAGTGTCGCCACAACAGGCTCTGGAGGAATGTTATCCCTTCCTCCTGGTCTTGAACTGCAATCTGTTTCTCAGTTTCCCCAATCAAACCATAAGCCCTTGAAGTAAGGGAACGAAGGGTCCCAGACTTTACTTCTGACTACTTATTCTAGAGGATCTAATAAGATATACTGGGCATGGCCCAGGAACTCAGTACATAAATGCTGCATATTGTGTGTGACTAATAACAAAGAAGATACTATTATCTCTCTAACGGCACTATTAATGACAGAACTGCTGCTTCAGCCACTGTTCTATGGCCAGGACCCAGGAAGCAGAGGAGAACAATGGCCTCCTCCTCCTCCTCATTAATGAGAAAGAGCCATTTCTATCAACACTGCCTGTCCCTCTTATTTCTTAGGGCTGATGAACTGTTTGTTCTTGATCTTCTATCCCAGATAACAGAGGCAATGCTGAAAGAGCTCCATGGGAAATCACCGAAGACTGTCTGATATAATTAGATACAGTCACTACTGGAGCCTTCTCTCTGCACAGAGTGTCCGACACACATCACCATGTCACAACCCAATCACCCTTTAATCAAGGAAGCACACGGTAACCGTTAAATGCCTTCTTTCTGTGATCATGAGTATCTTTATTCAGTGAGTGGTGATGAATTAAAGAACTCCGCAGACATGACAGATTCATGATTACAAGGTCCTACCATGCCCTTCTTTCTGAGCGCATACCTCCTCACAGACTTCACGGGCTGCTGCCACACTCGGCTCCTCCTCGGGCTCCATGCCTCCCCCAGGGACAATCCAGCGGTCTGGATGGCGACTACTGCTCACCAGTAACACCTGAAAGTCACAGAGGTCACATAGACAGTTAAAAAGAAAAAAGAAACATTTGTACAAACTCAGACTCTAAACAACACAAAGTAGAAGCACCCAAGACCTACTTTTTGTTTATACCTCTCCAGGTCACTTGTAGGGTAGCTTTCGTTTCTAGTGGAAAGAGTAGACAATCCACCTTGTAAAAGCAGAAGGACATGTGAACCAGTGGCCATTACCTCTACCTTCCTTCAGGCTCTCAGGCACTTGTGCTATCTATCCTCTCCTTTGTTCCTTTCCCTAAAGATCTTTGAACACAGAGTTGACAAGGGGGGGGGGGGCGGGGGCGGGAAGAGTACTGATAAGCCTGAGCACTGTGAAGGGCTGGCCAGAAGCAAAGAAATCCTTAGCCCTGGTTGGCACCATAGTCCCAACACCTTCCCTCCCAGGTTGTCACTCCCATGTGTTCCAGCTCCTGGTCCATCCAATGGCCACAAGCCAATACAATGCACCACCCGAAGTTCTAAGTGTGCACTGAGAACCCAACTCCCTCATCTACATGTAAAGTTGGAAAATTTCATCATGCTGAGATAAAACCAGAATTTTTTTTACTAGGAAGTTTTATTAAGAAATGAGCAGACAACCAACCAAACACACCCACAAAATCCTGATACAGACTATAGTTTACTAATGCAAATTTAACCAGCATTCTAGTTATGGCTGAAATAAAATCCTAGAATGTCTCCAGCTCCTTTTCCTTACCCCTCTCTAGGGCAGATGCTAAAGTTAGGTGGACTCCTCCTTTGGAGGTAGAATTACGTTGGCATTACTTCCAAAATGAAAAGAATCCTCTACAGCTCCTTACACCATTGCTTTCTGACGAGCTCTTTTGAGCCTCCGTCCCTATTCCAAACGTATTCCCCCTGGGCACTTCACTTCTACTCTGCAGTCATCCTTGTTGCCTGGAAGAAAATGCTATGTCCTCTGTAGCCCCTACAGATTCCACCACTGCCTTCCGGTGACCTACCTTCCAGTCCTCTCCCATTTCTCCCTTGAGGTTTCTGCAAGTATATGGGCTCTTGGAAATTCTACCTTTTTCTTCATCCTTAATCCCTTTTCTTCATGTCATGACAGAGTCTCTTGATGCTCCTCTACAAAATCTGTGATCTGCTGACTCAGTGGGCACCATGGAGTTAAGAAGGAAATCCATGAATCCATATACAGTCACCAATATATAGTCCATGGATGGAGAAAACAATATCTTTATATTTATAAGTACTATTTTTTAAGTGTATGTAGGTTCTGCTTTGCACAATTCAGAATAATTTAAAATAATATATGAAACCCACAGGGAATTTTGGGGTGGTGTGTAAATATAAGGGATATTAAAAGTATAATGTGGAAGGTTCTATGAAATTTTGTTTTTAAAATAAGAGTCCTCATTGTATTCCCACCTCATACCACATACAAAAATGAATTCCAAATGGACCAACGATCTAGATGTAAGAGCTAAAACTAGAAACGGCGATAAATCTGAGGTGCCCGGCTGGCTCAGTTGGTAGAGCATGTGACTCTTAATCTTGGGGTCATGAGTTTGAGCCTCACTCTGGGGGTAGAGTTTACTTACAAAAATAATTTAAAAAATAAAAGATAAATAAAAAGCGATAAATCCTCATGATCTTGACTTTGGTAAGATATGTCGAGTTCTTAGACATGACACCAAAAGCTTCATCAAAATTAAAATCTGTGCATCAAAGGACACGATCAAGAATGTGAAAAAACGACTTACCAAATGGGAGGAAATATTTGCAAATCATCTATCTGATAAGGGTATGCTGTCCAAAATATGAATACATAAAAATATAAAAAATCTTACAACAACAAAAAGACAAGCAGCATTTCTCCAAAGAAGATCTACAAATAGCCAAGGAGCACATGAAAAGATGCTCAACATCATTAGTCACCAGGAAAGTGCAAAGTAAAACTGGCATGAGATACCACTTTACACCCACAAGAATGGCTATAATTTTAAAATAACAAGAACTGGCAAGGATATAGAAAAACTGGAACCCTCAAACATTGGGTAAGAATGTCAAATAGTTCAGATGCTGTGGAAAGTTTGCAGTTCCTCAAAAGTTAAATAAAAAACTACCATAAGGGGCACCTGGGTGGCTCAGTCAGTTAAGCATCCAGCTCTTGATTTTTTTTTTTAAACGAAAGACACTTTCTATTTTTTTATTTTATTTTTTTATTTGACAGAGAGAGAGAGACAGAGAGAGCAGGAACACAAGCAGGGGAAGTGGGAGAGGGAGAAGAAGGCTTCCCGCCGAGCAGGGAGCCCGATGCGGGGCTCGATCCCAGGACCCCGGGATCATGACCTGAGCCGAAGGCAGACGCTTAATGACTGAGCCACCCAGGCGCTCCTCAACTCTTGATTTTGGCTCAGGTCATGATCTCCTGGTAGTGAGACTGAGCCCTATATCAGGCTCTGCGCTCAGTGGGGAGTCTGCTTGAGGTTCTCTCTCCCTCTCACTCTGCAACCCCACCCTTGCTCTCTCTCTCAAAAAAATTAGCAGCTGACTTAACAATCTCACTCCTAGGTATATACTCTAAAGAACTGAAAACAGGTGCTCAAATACTTATATACATAAATGTTCACAAAAGTATTATTCACTGTAGCCAGAGCACAGGAACAACTTAAATGTCCATCAATGAATGAATGGCTAACATGGCATACACATGTGCAGGACGAGTCCTCACAAAAAAAGAATGAAGCACTGATACATGCTACACAGTGGATCAACTTTGAAAACATGAAGCTAAGTGAAAGCCAGACTCCAAAAGTCACATATTGTAAGATCCTACTGATGTGAAAGAGATAGAAAGCAAACTGCTGGTTGCCAGGGACTGGGAGAAGGGAAGATTGGAGAGTAACTGCTTAATGAGAGTACAGGATTTTGTTTGGGAGTGATCTAAGTGTTTCGAAACTGTATAAAGGTTGCTAAATGCCACTGAATTAGTGGTACTAAATGCCACTGACTTACTCACTTCTAAATGGTTAATGTCATGTTATGTTAACTTCACCTCAATAAAATAAAACTGGTATTAAGATCACAGTAAATTTTTAAAAGCTAAATTTGGGAGTCAGTGCTACTACTTTCTACATCAGAGTCTACACTCCAGGGGAGTGGCCTTCCAAAAAGTTATCCTTAGTTTTATAAAGTATTAAATTATAGAGATGAAATAGAAGAAAAGGGGATCATTGCCACACTCCTTCTCCCATCTCGTGATAATTGTGGCAAATCTTACATTTAAAAAAAAAATTCCTTATAAAAAAATAAAAAATAAATTTAAAAAATCTTTATTGAGTACACTTGTGACTGGGCACGGAGTGTTAATATGTAAGTGATGAATCACTAAATTCTACTGAAACCAATATTACACTATATGTTAACTAGCTAGAATTCAGATAAAAATTTACCAAAAAATTCCTTATCAAAATAAAAATAAACCCAAACACAACCATGTTTGTTAATTTAAGTTAAAAAGTTTTTTTAAAAAGTCTTCCAAAGACTCTAATAATGGCATTTAAGTCATAACAATCCACTCTGCAAGGAAAACTCAAGAAGAAAGAGTAGAAAAATGGGTTAATCTTTCACTGATTTGTTATATAAACAACATGTAGTCTTTCTTCCTAGAGTTCTCCCACTTCTTGGCAAAGTGTTATGCAGCCATTCTAAACCTAAGCATTTGCTTGAAAGGCTGACTAGGGCCATCCAATTAGGTTATAGACCAAATGAAAGACCTTTACAGGGACAATTCCTAACATAAAGTATAATTTAATTTCTAACTTTGAATCAATGTGAAATATTAATCAGTAATCTAGGAAGTGTTATTACTTTGCACATTCAAAGTATGACTATGTGAGGTAATACTACGGATAATACTGACACTTGGAAAAACAAGCCTCATTACTTTGTAGTCACACTTCAAAGCAAACACTATTACCAGTAAACAGTTCTCCTGGCTAAGTTTCCTTGACAACCCACTGCAAATTTACTGCAAAAAAACACAAAACATTCTTTACTTTAGCCAGAGGCTTTACTCCTTCCTATCTTATAAAACACTAAATGGTGTTTCTGGTCAATAAATTCTGATTCTGAAGCTTGATTTTTAAATATAAAATTATCTGAAAAGAAATTAAATGGCAAAGCTCCTAAATCTGAAAATGACATACTAAGGAAAAAAAAAAAAACCACAGGATTTGTTATTTATTCAACAAATTCATTAAGCATCATTATAAACCAGGAATGGCAGTTGCAGATTAAACCTCTGCAATTTTAAGGCAGATCAGAGTGGGGGACTGGACGACCAGGTATTAGACCTTTCATGAAACTCTTATCACTAAGATAGGTGATATTGGTGCAGAGATGGGTAAATGTACCCATAGAACACACCACACCCAACTCCTGGATTTATGATACAGGTGGTCCTACAGAGCAGGGAGAAGTCAACAGGTAGGGCTGGGACAAGTTGTTACCCACATGGACCCAGAGGAAAATCATTATATTGATTAGGTACACATGTATGCAAGGAAAGACTAAAGAAATCCATAGGAATAATAAACCTAATGGGGGAAGATTTACATAAAGGATTTAATTAAGCTTAGAACAGTAACGTTGTTTTTTTTTTTAAAGATTTTATTTATTTGACAGACAGAGACACAGCGAGAAAGGGAACACAAGCAGGGGGAGTGGGAGAGGGAGAAGCAGGCTTCCCGCTAAGCAGGGAGCCCGATGCGGGGCTCGATCCCAGGACCCTGTGATCATGACCTGAGCCGAAAGCAGACGCTTAACGACTGAGCCTCCCAGGCGCCCCAGTAATGTTTTATTTCTTAAGCATTATTAAAGCAATTTTAAAAACGTTAATACAAATTTTCAAAAGAATATAAAAGAGGGGCACCTGGGTAGTTCAGTCTTAAGCCTCTGACTCTTGGTTTTGGCTCAAGTCATGACCTCAGGGTCCTG